CATAGACATATTAAAGATTTTTGAAGAAAAGCGTCGCTGAAGGCCCAGAGCGATTAGTCAATTTTTAGACTACCTTAAGAATGATTTTGTGGATAAGATAGAGCTGGCAAAGTGTCCCATTTTGTCCCCCATTGCTATGCACGTGAAATATAAAATTGAACAACGTACTTACAATCCAGAGATAAAATCGGATTTTTGGACATGTTCAAACTTTCAGTATTTCTGCATGTTTTGATGTAGGTGCATGCAACCAAAGATAATTCAATTTGTTAGCTATCATTGATTGCATGCTTCAAAAAAAGAATTGATGGTTTTAGTTAATGTAAATGTTTATAAAGTATCTTTCGTTTATTTTGCAACTTAGCACCAAATGTAAACTAAGAATTTCACACACAAATCCAACTCTACTGCTAGAAAATTGAGGTGTTGAACTTGGAATTTAATGCCTACATAGCTCATGACATGGAGTATTCTTTGTCAAGACAAAATTGTATTTTTAATAGCTGAAATACACTTACATTATCTTTCAAAGATGATGCCGTTGATCCTCTTTTTTCGCTCGTATGCTCAAATAAGCGTACCGTCAATTGGGGTGAGAATGATCAAAAAAAAAGTTTTTCACTATAATTTGCTATCTACATAATATATAATGTTTTTTAAACAGATTGTTTCAATAGATGTTAGTGTTATTGACAAGTTTCAATAGTTAGAAAATTAAAACTAAAATAATAAAAAACTTTATAGGGAAAACACTATGTGAACCATCTCAGACTAAACGTGGGGTGTCATTGACCTATATTTTTAAACAGGCAGGTTCATACAAATTGATCTATCTGACCCCGAAACATTTCGAACTTACGGTTTAAAAGTTATAAGAGATTTTTGTTTAAGGGGTGTGATTGTTCAGTGCGGGTGAGATTGATCAGCGATAATTTGCGAGTTTAAAATCCAAATACACATTTTATTGTCAATTTAAAAAAAACACTTATACTACTACCTGCTGAATTGCTAAAAACAGGTGTTTTATTCTATAATAAAAGGTTGTACGTTAAAATAAATAGGTGACTACCTTAAAAAACAATTAAAAGTAAAGGATATCTACATTTCATAAACATCGATTTGCTTTTTAAATAAATAGGCTACATTACCATTAGTTATTAACAGTAGGCGTATTTAGAATAGCTATAAGGCCTTCTATCTCAACTACAAACCCATCGTCGGGCTGCGGAACAAATAATTTACGTGTCTTGTCACAAGATTTCATTCCTAATACTTCAAACTCCTGTTTATCTCCATCGGAATGTATTGCCTGAATCACTGCTGTGTAGCGATAAACCGTTTTTTTTTCTTGATCCTCCGAATACCTTCACATGTATAAATTTTCCAACTGCAATATTTTCTAATCACGGTTCTAAGTATTCAGTTTCTTCTATTGTCCTATTGTAACGCGATCCGATGGTTCTCCTTTTGGTCCCATTTCAATCCACTGCTGCCAGAGCTGTTCGGCTTTGTAGACGATGTATGGGGGAAAAGCACTCCATCATAACAGTTACGGCAGTTTTAGTAAAATTGCAAACACGTTCTGGGTACTTTGTGCCACGACGAAAAAGCAGTTTTTTTTACCAGGATCGTCTAATAAATTCGTTTCGTCATAGTTGAATATATTAGACGCAGGAATATCTTTTAGCGTGTTGCTTAAATTTTCAAAATACTCAACTATAGTGTCTCGCGAAACATTAGCACGACATTTTTTTATGTTCGTTGCAACTTTTTGACTTATTTCATTTTTATGCCTATTCAGTAAACCATAAACCCAATCTTTACCTGGCATATTATTCTTGAATTTTGTTACTGACCGTCCGTTGCTATCTAAATAGTTTTTGGCTAGATTGCGTACATCCAAAATGCCTAATGGAAACCCCCATTATCCACACATACTGGCAGATTTAATAAAAGTTATTTCTTCATTTACAGAAAAGACGGTTTGTCTGCCTGTCTTTCTAGTACGCAAACCACAATATTTGTTTCTAAGGGTACCAAATGGGATTTTGTACTCAGCTGAAGCACGACGTAATGACCATTTCTCTTCCGTGACCTTTTCTAGTGCTGCCTCCAATGCTTCTGGCTTATAATCTGCATATTTTCGAGCCCCCAATTTTCTTTTGTATTGCCGTGGCATGATTTATGAACTGAAAAGAAACGACACTATAAGTATAATCGAGCAATTTTCAATAATATACGAAGAAATATCTTGATCAATCTCACCCCGCACTTCCGATTAATCTGACCCCACCGCCTAAATTTAATTATAAACTACAAACGTGTCCTCCGAGAGTCGTGAATTACAGAACTTGACATCCTGAGACATAACCTCATTGTTTCATGCCGGCAAATAACTAAATATATTACCATAATTATACTTACCAGACACAGTTCTGGAAGTTATAAATCCTGATTAAACACACAACGGATCTTAACTGCAGTTTTTTTACACAACACAACGCATTAACGACGCTGCAGGCACACATGCTATTCAACCATGTTTTTACAACGATAACCTAGCGGCAAAGGCCAAATCTAACCGGCGATTGACGCGGTAAATTCGAATTTATAAAAGAATGACTTGGTGATCAATCTCACCCCAAATGACGGTAAAGTGGATACCAAATAAAACCCGATGCACGTCATCGATCTGGAGCTGTGCGCTGTTGCCAGAATTGATATGAGCTCTTTACACCGACTGTTAAGTTGTTTTGGCATTTTGGATACTTTATACCACTTCACAGTAACTTTTGTTCTGAGAAGAACAACTTTTAATTGGCAAAGCAACGATTCAAAGCTCAAATAGCGCAAAACTCACAAACTAAACAATAAAGAACTAATAGTACGACAAAAGGACAATGGCAACTGATGTCAACAAATGAGAAGTGGCAACCTCACATTTCTCTGCACGGCACTACCAACCGAATCGAGACGGGGAAATTTAAACTTCAAGTAGAAATGTCACATTGAATGTAGTCAACTGTTGGTAACCATGATTTTTATGAATGACATCACCTATGACGTGCATCGGATTTTATTTGGTATCCACTATATATGAAATTCGTACATTGATAGAATTGAAGGAATCAGCCAATAGGATTCTAGTTTTATACCAGATACTGATAGAGTGTGGCCATACATGTCATGTCAAACTGTCAACTTCAGAGAATAACAGTATGTTTTCCTTACATCCCGCAGAAGCCTAACCTCCATGACAGACAGAGCCTGCCATATATAGTGGATACCAAATAAAACCCGATGCACGTCATCGATCTGGAGCTGTGCGCTGTTGCCAGAATTGATATGAGCTCTTTACACCGACTGTTAAGTTGTTTTGGCATTTTGGATACTTTATACCACTTCACAGTAACTTTTGTTCTGAAAAGAACAACTTTTAATTGGCAAGGCAACGATTCAAAGCTCAAATAGCGCAAAACTCACAAACTAAACAATAAAGAACTAATAGTACGACAAAAGGACAATGGCAACTGATGTCAACAAATGAGAAGTGGCAACCTCACATTTCTATGCACGGCACTACCAACCGAATCGAGACGGGGAAATTTAAACTTCAAGTAGAAATGTCACATTGAATGTAGTCAACTGTTGGTAACCATGATTTTTATGAATGACATCACCTATGACGTGCATCGGATTTTATTTGATATCCACTATAAAAATATTACGTTTGAACTTTGCAGGACAAGTTTTTCCACTTCTAGTTCATAGGTAAAAGTGAAAACCCACTGAGAGGAATGGAAACGATTAAGCGCGCAACAATGTCACTCAACAATTGCTGTTTCTGATTTTATTATCGGACATTATTTACATTTCGCGCAGAGATTCAATATCAAGTACGTGGTGACTGGCCTATTAAACGCGAACTGAGATCTTTACAGTTCCAACAAATATCAGCTATACGCTATCAGCAGTGGTCTACCACTTCGCCACCGCTGCGCTGCTGCCTATGGTGGCATCTGGTGAAACGTATAGCGCTTCGCGCTGCCTTATTTCGATAGACCGTACCTCCTAAATAAAGGATAAGTTGCGATGCTTTCGATCGTTGTCCCAGAAACGATAGACCAAGCCCAAAACAGCTGTCTATGGTTGGCTGTCCTTTGGTTTGACGGACGAAATCATCATGTTTATATTGACATTTAAAGTACCCCATATCGCTAAGCGATTATGATATACTTCATACTGCTTTGTATTGGCATAAACTAATTAGGGCAGTTTTCATCAGAACTAGATTTCAGGTCGACAGAGAATTGATGGAATTACGTAAATGTAATGTAACATCTGAAACTCGATAATCTCCGATATTTGTCTGGATAATCAAAACCACATATATTCAAAATTATTCTTTATTGAACGACGTTTCGGTTCTAATGGTGACCTTCAGTAGACATGACAATATATTTTATCTGTCTTCCAGGTGACACTTCCTTTGTTTTTGCCTTTCAATTTCACATGCCTATACAGTATGTTACTACAGTAGTCTGGAAGGTTCTGTAACATTCTGAGATTGTGCAAAGCAATCATTGTAATTTTAAGAAGGCACCGAAACCAGCAAATATAATATTGTCAATAGATGTCATTTGAACTTGGTAGGTCACCATTGAGACCGACACGTCGTTCAATAAAGAATAATTTTAAACATATGTGGTTTTGATTGACCTGACAAACATGGGGGATTTGTAAATGTAGTTCTGATACTCTACTGGGTGAAGAACAGATTCACTATTGCCAACAGTATACCTATTAACAGAGGGCGCTAAAATAGGCGTCAGAATGTACGTATCGTGGCAAATAGATTGCCTATCCGCCGCAGCCCGTAATTTTTTTACATTGAATGTATACTGGACAATCATAATTCATCGAATTTTCTTGTTTTACTACCTACCACAATAGTCAATATTGCTTCGTTCCGCTATTTAAAAGATCCGATGATTTTTCAGGGCAACAGCAGAAGAGATGCGGCAAGCGGCGTACGCAGAAAATGTTGCGCCCAAAGCCCCGGATACCGGTATGCGATCTAACCTTGTCAACAACGCTCAGCCAGTGAGTTTCACTGGAGCCCCAGTATTCGATAGCAATGTTTGATATTTAATTCATTATTTATATACTTTTCCCATGTTCATAGAAATATGTCAAGTGTTATTGTAAGGTAATTTGTCTGTGGTCTGTCATTAGAAAAAGTCTTCCGCAGTTGTTTAGAAATGCAAAGTCGTGTGTGTAAAATCTGTGAATATGAGCATATTATGTCTAAAGAAATTGGGATGAAGTGGAGCTCAATAACACCCAGAATTTTTGAAATGCAAGATAGATATTAACTCTTGAGTGAAAAGATACGCAGTCTAGAAAGTTAAATGAGAATGCATAATCACTAACACACGAACTGATAGTCAGATTTTCCTCTTTTTTGTGGAGATATCTGTCAATCAATGCATAATTCTAGACAGTTGCGATCATTCTTATGTCAGGTGATCTAAAAAATGCTCAATTCATGACAATGTCCCCACAGAGATGTTTTTATATGACGCGATAAAACTATAAATGTACAATTACAGATAATTGAAATTACTATTCCAATTTCATTAAAATTGTATCTTATATGATTAAATGGGGTGAAGTACGGGTGTAGTGTCATTTTCTTATGAGATTTAAAACATGTAGGTATGCATTCAGTTTGATGCAGTAATATTAGCAAAAAATTTGACAAAAGCCTATCAAATTACACTTTGATGAACTCTGTAGAATCTTCCGAAACGTTAGTATAGTATTGTTATTGAATAATATGCAGAAATGGTGAATTTACATGTGAAATTGTTTTATCATTTTATTCAACCAATGTTTTATAATGTTCAAACGGTATTGTTTGAAGCTATAATGATCATTTATAGATCACCTGGTAGCATAACTTGATTTTTTCTTCCTTTTTACATGGAAAGTTGGATTTTTGTAAGCTCTAAGTACAGTGAAATTTATTTTATAGAACAGTCATTAGGAAATTGAAGTTATTGTAATGGTCAGAATTTTTAGAAGATTTCCACACATCTATCATATTCATTTTTAACATAGGGATTTACTGAGGTTATTATAGGTACTTCCATATATGCAAGAATGCCAAAGATTTTCAAGATAAACATAGTCATTAAGTGGTTGTAAAGTTATCTTTGAACAAATTGTAGAGTGAAGTGATCAAACCCTGAGCAACAATCAGTTTTGACATGCTCATATTTCCAATAGCTTTATATGTAATTGTAAAATCGCCAATTTTAACATTCCATTGACGTTTTGGTATTAATATCATGTAAATATGAAAATATATATCGGATGTTTTCTAACCCATTTGAAAAATGAAGCTTTGATCATTACATAACATTTGTTAGAAATTTACTGTCAGATTGTATTATTCGATGTACGAATATATTACTAAAACAATTAGAGTTTAAAGTAGTTGAAGTAATGAATAGCAACGTTGTTGTAAATAAACTTTAAAATAAGAATTCATTATTATTATGGTAGTGTTATATGGTGATATTTATTTTGGCATGATCTTTGAACACTTGATGATCAGTTGTTATAATTACCAGATGACAAAACACGGTTGGTCAATCTTCAATAGTAAATTCAAAACGTACAGACTTATTCTAGAGACTTCATTGTTATTAGTGTAAAGCTACTGGCAATAGATTCCTCCATATTTGCATAGCAGATTAAGCGTGAATCGTTAAGTTGGTTGATTTAGGCGAGGGATGAAAGGGTGTGCAATTTTATTAATCGCAAAATTAGTTAAATACTGGTACTGGTATAATTCTGATTACTGTGCAATGTGTTGGTATTCACTAGTTAATGTTTGTTTTTGTCCTTACCAACGAGATCCAGAATTTAGAATGCTTTGTTTGAATGCAAAGATGTGACAGTTCTGGAAGTATAACAACTGAAAATCAGATGTAATTATTAATGTGTCTGGTCATATTTGAATATAGGTATATTTCCTTAGAATGTGTATGTAAAAATGTATTAGTAGTTTTAACGCTAGTTTTATTTTATTGTGATATTTATTATATTTAATACTATGCTTTCATCTGACACATTCATTTGTATTAAAGCAGACAGTTTGATAAAACTCGTAAAAATGTGAATTTAAACATAGCTTTTATGTACCTCTGACAGTACAGAACCTGTCAATCTCATAACAGTCTTCACCTAAATTTTATCGACTAAAAAATACTGTAGTGAAAATAAGAGTATTTTCATATGCGCGAGTACTTTTGTATAAAATAGTGTAGTTTTGTGCTACACTCATATAAACATATCACAGTTACTAAAATAATGATGAAGTATAAGTTGTATCAAAAATTTTATATTCCCACTTAAAAGCTGTTTGGTGATAATAAGTATATGACGAAAATTACTGTTTTGAATTGTGACATTTTTGTTTTTTACTTTTCACGCCTGCTGATGAGGAAGTATTGTATCGCGTAAACTTTAAATGTACCGCTAGGATTTGTATGAAAATTTCACACAAGGTAACTTTTTTGTCTTCTTGCCAAACATAATCATTTATGAACTGATGACATTGTTGCGTGGAAAGTACAGAGTGAACTTGGTTGACGCTACTCTTATATAATACATTTAGGTGTCTACAAAATCGATGTAAGGTCTTTATTTTTTCCGTTATGTAAATAACTGGTAGTCACACATACAGGGTAAGTTCATTCTGGTGGATAAATTCACATTTTTATCATAGATTCAGTTTATTCAAAGAAAGGTATCAGTCATCCACAGTTGATCAATATATGGTCTTCATTCACATAGTCATACATAACCTATGATACTTCCGTATTTTAGACTTAATTTTAAACATAAGACTGTTTAATTTTATTTGGATGTTTTTGCTCAATATGTTGAAAACCGTTTAGAATTATTCCTAGCACGAATATGTTTTTATATGTCAAATTGTGAGCTTTCAATTTATTTATTCCATTGGAAATTGAAAATATGCATGAATATATGAAGGCATTCCAAACCCTGTTTTTCTGCGTGTTCCAACTTCAAGACCGATTATACATACAGGGTGTCCAGTGGGAAAGTTCACAATAGAACGTTGGACCGGAGCGCAACGTACTTTTGCTATCGAGTCTTACTTTAAGAGAGATGATTCATATGCAGCATAGGAAATTTTGTACAAGTTACAACATTCGCAGATCAAGAGATGCCACAAGTAAGAACCTATTGAAAAAGTGGATTAAGAGGTTCCGTGAAACAGGCTCTACTTTTAGTCAACCCATTCCTGGCACCACACCTACTGTATCAACCGAAGAAAATGTGCGTCGAGTAAGTGATTCGGTCATTGCAAATCCTCGGCGTTCTGTACGGAAGCACTACGCTGCTTTGGGAATCCCTAGGTTAACACTGCATGGCATAATGAAGGAAAAATGGGTTTTCGTCCTTATAAAATCCAATCAGTCCATGTTTTAAAGGAAAGTGATTACGTATTTCAGAAATCTTGTGCTGAACGGATGTTGAATCTGTTTGCTACCCAGCTGAGACTCGAGAACGTTGTTTTCAGTGACGAAGCCCATTTTCACTTAGACTGTTATGTGAACAAGCAAAATTGCAGATATTGGGCGTATTTCTTTGAAGATGAAAACGGTCATGCATTGACAGTCAATTCCGAGCTATACAAGGACATGATTGACACTCTTTTTGTTCCTATTGTAAGAACAACGTCGATTTGACAGAAATACATGGTTTCAATAGGATGGGGCCACTGCCCATACTTCCAGATAATCAATGGACACAGTGAAAGCACTTTTCCCTCAAAAAGTTATATCGAAGTTTGGAGACATTCACTGGCATCCTAGGTCACCCGACCTCACGCCATGCGATTATTTTTTGTGGGGTTATCTAAAGTGTATTCCAATAGTCCACGGACACTGGAGGAGCTTAAAGACAACATTCGACGAAAAATAAACATCACTCCGGAACTCTGCAAAGAGAAGTGTTTCAGAATTTGCGCGCCCGATTACAAGAGTGTGTCCGAAGGGATGGCAAACATTTGGATGGAATGATATTTAAGAAATAAAACCCGCTGAATTTACGAATATGTTGATAGTAATAAATATAGCCCCACCGTACCCAATGGGTGTTTAGGCCTTAGGCCTTCGTGGTAGAAGGAGTATATAAAAAAAACTTTTCATTAAGTTTGTATTAGTTTTTTTAAATCATAAAGTGAACTTTTCCACTGGACACCCTGCTTAGATCCCCCAACACAATTTCTAAGTACCGCACTCATTACAAGTGATTAGATAAAGAAGTCAAGACATGATTGATGAACTGTGAAACGAGTGGTCATACCGACCAGTGCTCGACGTACAGAACCATTTCCAGTTACAGTGAGAATTGGCTCAAAACGTACCGACATCATAGACGAGAACACACAGGGGCAGTCTGTTGACACAGCTACTGCCACTTTCATGGTACCAGCACCTTGGAGTACATGCATTTCTGAGTTATATAGAGTGACTCATAGAAGAGTAACAAAAAAACCTGGGTCCAAAAATGCTCCCTTATCGGGATATAATGGTCTTGAGGTTATAATTTTGAAATCGAAAAAATGTATCTTCAGAGTGGCATTGATTTAAAATGTTGTGCATATAGTAACAAAGCTATAACTCATGCATACAAAATTTTTTGTGACTCAGGCTACACTTCCTTCTAATTGGGTTGAATATTTTGCGGTGTCCGTATAAAAAAACTTCATCCCTCATGTGTTTCTACTAGCAAAATACGATGAGGTTTTGGTGCAGTTTCATATTGAAAATTGTATGCATTGTATTAGCGCAGTAGTAGCCATAGCGTTATTTTAACAATATTCTTCTTTTGTCCTTATCCAGTCTCATCAATGGCATAGAAATTTACATCACCCGTTATCTTTGCAATGAAGCATTTCTTATACCTGTTTAACCTGTTTATAGGAACTTTTTACGTTATTCTTGGATGTGCACTTTCTGCTCTAGAAATATTGCCATTGTTTTTTTAATCACCTTGTATAAAATCTGCCTAAAACTTGCAAAATTCAGCTAATGAATTTATGGTGAAAGCAAAGAAAACCATTCAATTTTACAAATGTATTCACAAGACAATACACGTAATCGATTTGTTCTTAAATACTAAACTAAAAAAGTATATTAACTATTGAAAATACAAATGAATCGGTCATTTATATTGTTCATAATTAAAACACATTTCTAAGCAGGTACTTTTACTTTTGATATGAATTTTAACTATTATTAAATATTGCTATTGAGCAGAAGTTAATCATTTTGATACAAATGTAAACATGAGCGAAATTTCATTTCGAAAAAGTACCAGCTTAAAACATATTTACAAGATTGCTTTTACATTCTCGACATTTACTAAAAATCGTGTAAAAAATATATATACATTTCTGTTTCTAATCCTAGCCTTAGCATTAAAAAACCTGCTAGTATTTCCTTCACAGTAAACATTGTAATACTGTGGTTCATTATTGCACAAAATGATAACTATAACGGAAAATATTGTTTTAGGTGGATGGAAATTAATATCCTTATATTTTCTCTGTGAAAAAAATACGAACAGGGCATGAAAAATAAATAAATAAATAAATAGTGTGCATAAATATACCTTACATACAGGGTTGGTGCCAAAAATGGCTTGGAAGAAATTACTGTATAAAGTAGTAAAATAATTTTAAATATCTATTTTAAAATATTTGGCATCATTTCTTTCATTAACATACTTAAATTCTCAAAGTGACTGAGTATATACTAACACTATACAATCATTTTGTAGGCGTTTAGAAATACTATATTTTCCTCCAATTTAATATTTTCTCCTTCAAAAAATATACTTTTAAAACTAGGAAAGATAAATGCATACGATAACATTTACAATTAACAATATATGGCCACACAAAAAGACGACCGAGTTTTAAATATTAATTTTTAAATTTTTCAAATGAATACAATACCTCATGCACACGTTTTGAAAATATATTCACGTAACGCATGGTATCCAAGGCAAACTATTTTCGGTTAAAATATGACCAATCTCATCGTATTGTTCCATCGACAAAGTATGGTGTCAACCCTTTAATAAAAAAACAAAGCTGTTTTTGTCTTTGTTATAAGTTGTAAACTGTAGACACAACATAGTTTATTAAAATTTGTATATAATTTACAATTTTAAACGATCACACTATCATACTCAAAATGAACTTCAATCTTGATAAAAACTAAAGCTTTATTCTTTTATTGAAGGGCCGGTGCCATTGCATATTAAATTTTTTGAGGGTATGTAAAATCAATAGGTACCACACACATGACTATAAGGTTAATTTTCCCACTAAACGTATATACATTTTATGGAAAGAATGTATGCGTCACTTGCCAGATATTGCGGCAAATCAAATTTCATACGTTATCTTAATCTAAAATCCAAAATATTAAAGTATGACAGGAAAACTATGATATATTCAACTAAAACTCTTAGCTACTGTTAGTTTACGTGAAAATCGTACATATTGATGGGTTATTATTTCGCTTGGGCAGTATTTGTACTTTAGATTTGAGTGTAAAATCAATATTTGAGATCATAGAGGCACTGGTTTTTAAAAAGTGAAACCTTCAACATGTCTTATCTCAACGAACTTCATTAATTTGATATATCAAGAGTTATTTTATGGATGTAAGGAAAATGGGTCTTAAGTGAAAATTGATTTATTATTGCCCAACGAAGCACTCGTGATGCTTCTGCTGAAATTACAATAGCATTTTGTAATTCTTGAGAAATTTATTTTGATTGGCTGACTAATGACGTAATTAGAAGCTACAATTTTCCAATTGAAAAATAATAAAACATTTATTTTCGACTGTACATTTACACTGAGCATGTAATGGCACAAATGTACATGAAATTCAAGATCTTTGTTGGCGAGACTGGATTTTTGGGGGAATCTGTAAAACATCTGTCGCTGATACTAGTATTCACCGAGAATATGACATAATCAAAGTGAAATAAACAAAATAAAGACCAACTAATTAAAATATATACATGCATGCTATATGCAAAACAAGTTATTCAGATTTTGTTTCAGCTCCTGATATTGGGCACTACTGGATAATCAGAATTATAAAAGCTTGCAAATCAATATTGATATTCATTATGTGTGACAGTCGTAGGCAAGAGTAGGTGATCTAAGATACATTCTGCCACTGGCAAAGTAAAAAGATTTTATCTGATATTGTGACTGAGAAGTATAGGCAGAAAACTAAGAAGCGTGCTGTGGTGTGAGATACAATAGTTAGAAGTGTCCAATATCTTGAAAAAAAAGACCGAAAATAACACTTTCATTGGTGAGTGGTTTAAAATAGAAAGAATAATTTTTTAATGTACGTAAAAATGAAGCTACCGCGATGCTACTTTTTGCATAATTAAGTTTGGTTCAGTTTAAATATCAAGGACTAAAAGCGGAAAAACATCTACTTGCGTTACATGATTGTCAAAAATACCACTCACATGCGGTTTTCCCGTTCGTGTCTACCAAACGGTTAGTCTTGTAGATCGGTACTATAACTGCGACTCGAACAGGGAAACCGGGTATTGTGTGGGCAGCATAATAAAACATATCGTGTGATCGATTAGTGCAAAAATTCACTAATCTCGCATGATCAACGAGTTTCATCAAGTAACAACGTCCATAATCCACATGAAAACAGACCGTGTTGTCTTGTGTTTCAGAATAAACATGAAAAATAACACGAAATAGCTAACCTCAACCCAGTCTAGCTATACTTTATTTAAAATAGATTTTTTTTTGTTAAAGGATAATGTTTTTGTAGCATTAGTAAGTAAGTAAATCTTAGTTCGAAGAGATAAAAAGGCATAAAACAAATTGCGGGGTACTTCAATTGAAATAGACACAGTAGCTGGTCAATCAAATTAAAAGCAGTTGACAAAAGAACAAATAAACTTCACAGGTATACAACATATGAACTACCAATGTATGTATCAATCTATGTATGTTTCTAAAATTTAAAATGTTTTATTCTTGTGATCTTGATATTATATAAAGTCTGGTTTAAATGCTTTTCTCTTTAGTTTGTTGGTATGCATTTTTTATAGTCTTCCCTAGTACAACAAAAACTAAGCAATGTTTGTTGAATAGCCTCATCTGTTCTACTAAATAAATTAAGGATCCTAAACCAATTCTGAAAACAAAAATTAAGATCTTTGTTCTTGAAAAGGACCAGTAATCATACATGGGAACATAGGAAACCTCGTCGTTAATGACACAGTCGGCAACGTAGACGTTCTCATCAAGAGATCATAGTTAGTAACATTACTAACGTCATACTTAGAATCATTCGACACTTTCTCTGAGCTATCAGTAGCCTCCGATTTGTTCTTCGCTTTCTCGGTATATTCATTCAAACCATGATATGCTTTATTCAAGTTTCGATGTTGGTAAAACACCAACGAAATTCGTGTTGGCGAGAGTCTGTTTGGATTTTTGAGAGCCGTAGTAGCATGCAGTTCATGTTTGGCACACTCAAAAAGTATACTGCCATGTTGCAATGCGATTGCAACTCCACCTATTTGATTGTCTTGGAAGCATTCGAGATTGTCAGTGTGAGTGACGTTGACAACTTTTTGTTTTGTGTCTGGTTGTTGAGGAAGAGGAGGAGGTGTTGCAGGTACTGATAATGATGGTGTTGGAGGAGGTTGAAGGAAATTATTTGTATAAACGTCATCAAAAGGGTTGCCGGTATGGTAGGAAGAACAGTTGCTGAACTGTGAAGCATACTGATTCATGTTCGGTGTTGCAAGATTTGGAGGATGGTAATAGTTTGCATTCCAGTCATTATAATAATACTCGTTTTTCAAAAAATTATTATGGAGAGGATAATTGTAAGAGTTCATGGTTGAGAAAGGCGTTTTAAAGAATGAAAACCTAGGCAAGTTGTTAGCTGGCGGATAGCTATCACAGTTTCCCATGTCATTTTTATAATAAAACATGTTACTATGCATGAAGTTATCATAACTCCATTGAGGTTTGGGATAACCAGGTACTGTGCTAGATACTTGACCGTTTTGTATCTCTTCAGCATTGGTAGATTCAGTAGTTGTTTTTAGTGGGGAAGACGTTGGAGTTGTAGGAGTTTTCCTCTTTCTACCAGGTTTTCCAGCTTCCGGACTTTTCTTGTTGCGTCGGAGGCAAGTTTCAGCAGGAACTGAGCAGGTTCGTACTTCACAGGGATACCTGTGAAATACCGTGCTATCAATTTAATAAACCTGTGAAAAATAATTTTAACAGTTTGAACAGATAATATGAGTAGCTTTTACCTTTTTTAAAACCAAATATTTGGATAAATCCCTCACCAACGACCACATATGATCTTGTTGGTCATTGAAATTAAACATAAAAGTCGTGCAACACGAAAGAAAGTTCGAAATCCACTTAGGGCTCGTGCAGATAGAAAGCGTTCCGAGTCTACGTTCCACGTTCTTTGTAATAGATGTCTATAGCGTTGCGCAGACAAATTGGCAGTCAGACCGCGCCGGTCAGTGTGAACGCTCGCGTTCTTGCGTTCTATTGTCAGAAATACAAGGAACTCGTGGGACGCCTCGTTGGCAAGATGTCTTCCATAGAAAAATTAATTGATTCAGTAAAAATACTGGCAGATTAAGCCTTTCTCCAGTTGGTCTATTGTTTCTCTATTTCCTTTATATAATCATGCAATTCATTAAAACTACTCAATGACATTCGGAAGTAAATAAAAAATCGCTCTTCATCTTCAAGCAATGCAGGAAAAAGAACACTGAGCTCTTCTTTATCATCTCTCTTACAATTGATCGGATGCACGCATATATTTTTTTCTTATTAGATTCTTCCAAACTCCTCAAAAGCAATGCTTCGTCTTCTGAAGACGAACTATCGACATATATGTACATGTTCCACCTACAAGTAATCTTAAAATGGAACGCAGTGTTCGTGACTGCCTCATGACTGTGTCAGAACTCGTAAGAAGAATTGACCGGAAGAACGCGGCTTGAACGCTGAACGGTTGTCTGTCTGCGCGAGCCCTTAAAGTGGTCGCGCACTCCCATTGAGGGGAAGGGAAGCGACTTACGCGCAATTACCTGTATGTCACTCGACAATGTTTGACATACAGCTGTCTCTTTCTGGCTTTATTGTCCAATGCCGTTGATTAACATTCTCGCGCGACACAAATCTCCTCTCTCGTCCGCAACGGCCGACTACCTTAAAAAATGTGATCATATTTTGATAATAACGGATTTTTTATAATTATCAATTGTCCAATAGCTTCCTAGTGATAAACCTTAAGTTACAAGGAAATCATGTGTTTCAACTTACTTTTGTAGAACCTCGATGCACCCATTTTTCACCTTCAATTCTTGATTCTCTTTGGATCCAAACTCATCTGTATCATCAGCAATGTAGAGCGGCAAGACATGTAACTGTTCATCTTCAGGTTTAGACAAACCTCTATGTTTAGTTAAACTAACGACAACTGTACATCCATTGGTCATATTATGCAGATCCTTGTGAGAATGCGCACAAAAATCCACGCAAGCTGTAACCCCAGAAAACGGTCTACCAGGCTTCATTCCCAGTCTACATTGAGGAGCAATGCCTTCAAAGTGCACTTGATTTTGAAAGGATCTGGGAGCGAGGGATTTGTATAGCGGACTTATGAGATCTGCTAAATTTTGAAGCTTATCTTCAACTACCGTTTCTTCGCTTTTTTCTGTCAAACGAAACTTTCTAACTTCTTTAGATCTGGTGAACTTGCACCCGTTGTAGTACATAGACCAGGAGCATCCAAAAGAGAAGCTGGCTCCGCAGGTGTTTTCATCAATCCCTTGACAAGCACATGTCCTTGGTTCGTTTGTAGCACATCTGCGTTTAGTTGACACGCCATATTTGTTAAGTTTTTCGGTGAGCATGGTGTACAGATCATCTGCGTTGCTTCCCTCGACACCATCCCAAACCACCATGCAGACTACTATGAATGCTGAGTAGCAAACATGTCCTTTGCGTTGTTTCACTAGCACCAGGTATTTTTCGTCCAAATTTTGTCTGCGTATCACCTACAAAAAAAACTGGTTTTGAATCGATGGATTCAATAAAATTATGTTGAAATCCAACTGCATTGAAATAAGACAAAAATGATTATCTCTACCAGTGGAACAATATATTCATTGAAAACGTATTTCTAAGATGGCATACTAACAGAAAAAATAACACACCAAATGGACACGTTAAAAAATAGAATATGAATTTGGCTACTGATAACTTTTCACAGAATCAAACAGAACCAAATTAGACTGACGGAGCCAAAAATTTAATTACAGGGTGTACTTGAAGGTGTAACTTTTCTTTACACACCGTACAGTTTTAAAAATAAGCAATTTTTTATAGTAATATAGGGTAGGCTGTCCAGTGGGAAAGTTCACGTTTTGATTTAAGAAAGAAAAATACAAACTTAATGAAAAGAAAATATTTATTACTATCAACATATTCGTACATTCAGCGGGTTTTATTTCTTAAATATCATTCCGTCCAAATGTTTGCTAACCCTCCGGAAATCGCGCAAATCTGAAATACTCTCTTGCATAGTTCCGGCGTGATGTTGTTTATTTCTCGTCGAATGTTATCTTTAAGCTCATCCAGTGTTCGTGGATTATTGGAATACACTTTTGGCTTTAAATAAATAACCCCACAAAAAATAATCCCATGGCGTGAGGGCGGGTGGCCTAGGAGGCCAGTGAACGTCTCCAAACTATGATATAACTTTTTGAGGAAAAAGTGCTTTCACCATGTCCATCGATTCTCTGGAAGTATGGGCAGTCGCCCCATCCTGTTCAAACCATGTGTTTCTGTTAAATCGACGTTCTGTTCTTACAATAGGAACAAAAAAAGTGTAAAATCATGTACTTGTATCGCTCGGAATTGACTATCAATGCATGACCGTTTTCATCTTCAAAGAAATACGGCCCAATAATACCGCTAGATGATATGGTGCACCAAACAGTCACCTTTGGACTATGCAGCTGTTGTTGATGTTTCTCTTTTGGGTTCGTTGGTGCCCAATATCTGCATTTTTGCTTATTCATATAACCGTCTAAGTGAAAATGGGCCTCGTCGCACATTTTCTTGTATCGTATACAAAATTTCCGAATGGCAGCTACATATGAATCTCCACTCTTCAAGTAAGCCTCGATAGTAAAAGCACGTTGCGCTCCGGTTCAACGTTCCATTGTGACTATTTAACCCGCACGCCGAATGCGTCGATCAAGATCTCTCCCCACTTCCTCGCGTATACGGTTGTCGCGTATTCAAATTTGAAACGTGAACTTTCCCACTCTACATTATACATACATTAGATAGCAGAATTATTAGGTTAAAAAACGCGACTATAAGTTCGGCCTTGCAAAGGAAGAGAAGAAATGATTCGAAGCGTTTTCCTGGATGTAGGCCGTCTGTAAGAATGTTGAGCTGAGTACAGTAAAATATTTAAGATTGAATGTTGTAAATCGAGCAAAAAGTTTCTGAATCCAACGGCGACATCGTGGAACAGTAGTGTAATAAGTAACATCTAGCAGGGCGGTTTTTCAAATTTATCATATGAACAGTATGTATCAAAGGTAGTGAAAAAAAAGCGAAAGACTACTGAATTCCAAAAAAGAGATGAAAAAAGAAAATTCCTGGTTGGTGAAGAATATTACAACAGGTGAGAAAATTGGCTACATACAGGAATACTTATGAAACGTGAAAAGGTTATTACATTTTACATTACTTTTTATTTCCAGTCACTTAAATTTTATAGCAATTTATTTTGCGACGTCAAATATAAATTACAAATCAGCGCTTAGATGTACGTCACTGCGAAAATGTTTTGTGTCTGATGCGTCATTTCTATTTTTTCTGTGATGTGGCTTTGAAGGTAAGTGAATATATTTATTATTTAAAAAAAATCTTATACCCGATTCATTATTGCCAACGTTGCAGAGTAACACAAAAATGTCACTTGCTGATCAGCCGTTCACCTCAGTGTGATGGATACTCGTGAAATAGGGTGTAGATGTAACTTTGAACATAACCTCTATTCAGAAAGGACAAGACAATAATAACCCCTCTGTCATAGCTAATATACTTCATGGATTTGTTAAAAAATATGTTTGGAAGGAATAGATGTCATGATTCGACGTCCAGGCTCCGCACGCCAAGTAGAAAAACCGTCTTTTTTTTCCATAACTCGTATTGTCGATTCGATGTTTACGGCGAGTGTCTTTAAGTTGCTCATGCTTCTAGTATATTCAATCTCGTTTCGAGTAGGTTTGGTTATCTCGTATAAAGGCCCTCTGTAAGAATGTTGAGGTGAGAACAATAGAATATTTAAGACAGAATGTTGTAAATCGAGAAAGAAGTTAACAAAGTTGTTTCTGAAACTAACGGCGATATCTCTGAACACTAGTGTAATGAAGTAACATTTAGCAGGGCCACTTTTCAAATTTCTTATATGAAGAGTAAGCTTTAAAAATAGTTGATTCTAACAACGAAAGTCCCAACTTTCAGAACACCTTGTACAAATAGATAAACTATGTAATTCCAAAAATCTGTTAGTATGATAGTTAGGTTGTTTGATGATTATTATTATTCCAAAATCAATCAATACAAAATACGACCATACTTACCCATTTCGCAATAGGACATCCTTGTGCAGTTTTTCCTTCCTTGCCAGTATATTTGATCTTTTCAATTCTAATTGCCTTTCCAAGTACTCCAGTACGACATTCCAGATCGTATCTCAAACTCTTCAGATCGTTTGCACATCCCAAATGCGTATAGTAAGTACCTGGCTCAGGCGGTACTTGATTCGGTGGAAAACACGTGCAACTTGGAATTTCCATCCCCATTTGCTTTTTTGACAGTTTCTCCGTTAGCATCGGGATATCGTTGGGTTGAAACGCACTCGTCATTAGAGATTCTGACATCGGGTAAGGGAAAAGTTTTGGCCATGATCCTGTAGGGATTTCATTGAACGAGTGGACATTCGAAGACGGAGTTGGTTTATCAGTTAGCAAAGGCCTATCATTCACAGCGTAGTTCATATTGCTTTTAGGATCACATGTCTTTATTTCTGGAGGCTGTTCCTTGCATTCATTCTTTACATCGTGATCACCATAGTTACCAACATTTTGAGTTGTACTGAGATTAGAGTAATGCATTGGTGGGATGAATCCATTCATATTACGATTAGTTATATATTCTTGTTTCACATGGTCAGGGTTGTATTCAAAATGTCTGTGGTGCCCGTTGATGGATGGAATTTTGTCAAGTCTGGGTAGTTTAGGGTTTTGGGTGCCACCATCATCACTTAATCTATCTGTTAAGTGGTGATGGTGGCTATACCATAAAAAATGACCGGTACTGTTTTGCTCTACTTGCTTAGCCTCGTCTTTGTTTTCTTGCTGTTTATTTAATATCATCGTTTTTATACGAGTGTTTAAATTGACTTTATCGGCCTGAGAGAACGTCCGGCTTTCGGGTTGTTCACTATTCTTCAACTCGGGTTGATTGGAATCCTGAATCCTGGTTTCATATTGTTGATTTTGCTGTTCGTTTTTGGGTTCGTCCCACATGATTTGCCTTTCATTGCGCCAATCAGTATTCTCCTGTCCGCTGAACTGTTCCTGGCCTGAGTAACCACTAGAGCTGTGTGAAGCTAGCTGCGGACTGTTGCTGTTCACTTGTGGATACCTGAAACGTGATATCAAGTCTTTAATCCTCACACTTTTTGGATAAAAATTATTAGAGAATAAAGAGATTGGTTTCTGAGAAAGAAATACAATATTCAAAGTAATGCAATAGTTACTTTGGCAGTTGACATGTTTTATACAACATTTTAATGCAACAAGAAATTAATATTAATGTGTAATCAGAATCACAATAAATAATACGTGAAGTATCTCACAGCCTGTGTGGCATATCTCAACATATCGTAACCCAAAATCTAAATCAAGACTACCACGCTAAGAAAACGAATTTCAAAAAGCATAAAATGCACGATGCAAATGCCCTATTTATATGCTCTTCCTCATTTCGGTCGGACCAGTGACTGAGCGCTTCCGCGCCAGACACCTCATGCCAAATTCCATTAAGCCCTTTGGGCTAAAGCCCGTGAAATAGATATTTCAGACTATAATCTCTGTACCAATCTCATCCACATCCGTTCAGCCATTTTGGCGTGATCGAATAACAAAGAATCACACCTTCTTATTTATAATATTAGTAGGGATAATGGATTACTTCTCATTTCTCAACCTCAAGTGAAATAAGTGCTGAAGAAATTGTCATTAATTATTTTGAACCAGGACATACATATATGTCAGCAGATCATTTTCATCATCAAGTGGAGCTGTCCTTAAAGGAAAAACGTTTGATTTTCCAGATTTTGTTAATGCTGTATCCCAAGCAAATAAGGGAGCAGTAGAAATCAAAAAAATGTCTTTTTCAGATTTCTATTCTTTCAAATCTTTCGTTTCGCAACAAAAATTAAAGAAACAAATGAATCGAATTTATCTCAAAGACATTGTTCAGATTACCGCTCGCAGGGGGCAATATTATCTTCTCAAAACCTCACATTCGGGATGGGAACCGAATAATTGTTTAGATTTTCTACAGTTTAAGGCAACCAAGCCCAATGGTATGAAATTGCCGGAGACGTTACATAAGCCTCGCGGTTTTCCTTCAGAAAAAAAGGAACACATTTTAAAAGTGTTAAATACAATAATGCCTGAAAACAGAAAAGATTTTTGGCGAAATATACCTGCTAGAACTGATTCTAGTTAGTGTTGCTCTTTGGTATTTAGCGCATATCATTATGAATATTTGTATTTTTATTTTTACTTTGTAAGAGAATCAAAATAAAAAGTCTGTTTTTAAATATATCGAGACTATAATTCTATCTGACACAAATTATTGGAAAGTAATTAGCAGAAACACTTAGCAAAAACGCAGTACCGCATTAATCTCAAGCTACCTGTGACTCAATTGAATATACTTGGTTATGACAATAGAAGGCAGCGAAAGTATTTGAACTCTCTTACGGCTCTGAAAAAAAGAAAAAACATGTTTTCCTCCATGCGATATTTTTTGTAGCTGCGGTGTTACCGCTAAGCACGGCAGTACTTTGCTCCTTTAATACAAATAACTATTTTGATCTACAGAACTTTTGATCGAAATAAGTTGGACAATATTTTCAAATAGTTTTCAATAATTTTGACGCTAAGCATTCCCTATCAAATCGTGTGGAGTACTTTAGTGTTTGAACAAATATTCTATTTCCGTTATTTCAATGTTAAGGTTTAGAAGCATCCTACTTACCCAGGCTGTGCGTTTCCCGACCCCGTAGTTGCGTAACTCGCCGAAGAGTTCGGACTAAAATTCGCAATTGTGGTAAAGGCGCTATTGGACATTTGAGACTGTTGTTGTTGCTGCTGCTGTTGCGGAGACTGCTGTTGTTGTTGAGATGGCGTTTGCGGTTGCTGCGCCTGGTAGTTTGAATTTGGGGTAGGAGGATTGCCATTATTCACAGAGGCTGGACGAGAATTGGCTTGCGACGAGTCGTTCTGTTGTTGCTGAGTAATTTGCTGCTGAGATATATTGTAATCTTGGTATTGGCGGCTGTTATTGTTCTGTTGCTGCTGTTGAGCAGGACTGGGACTAGGAGTGTGGGAGTAGTTGGAATTTGGCCGGGGTGGACCCAACTGCTGCACCTGAGAATATAATATAATTCTTACTAACCTTTCATTCAAAATAGTAGACATTTGTGTTTTTGACAACGTGACCCGGAATGATTTATGAGGGATTCTGAATCTCATAAATAATTCAACTGAATATCGTAATAAGTATTTAATTTTTGCAAGAACCGTAACAAAATTCTAACTTTAGTTTTAGCCCCCTACCCCAAAGGATGGGTATTATCAATGATTAAGATATTCTACCTCAAGATGGCGAATAAATTATCTACTTTGAAAATATTCAAAGTCTCATAGATGTTGCCAACTACAGTATCGGAAAAAAGTTTGGAAACAAATATTACATTATTATTAACTATTTCATATATCTAAATTACAATTGTGAAGGAACAGATAATATAAATATTAAAGTCTGCCTTTGGCTCCCGTAGTAATACAAGATTTATCTTATCAATATTCAAATTTTCTGAAAATAAAAAAGTGTTTTTTCAAATACCAGTTTTTGTATTGACAAAAGTATGGAAACATTTCAGTTTTGCCATATTTATTCATTCTGCGATTGTCTGATATTGCGTGCGATAAATATTAATGTGAGAATGGCAAAAGTAGAAGAATTTTCAAAAGATTTAAGAGACAAAGTAATTGAATTAATTAGAAGTGGTGTCAGAAATGTTGACATTTCTCAATGATTTAAAATGAACAAAGGAACGATTTCGAAAATCATTGGTGCGGAAGACCGAAAAAAACGATTATGTTTTGGATCGCTACATTAAACGTTTGTCTCATGAAGATCCTTGAATGCCAGCCACACAGATTTTCAAAAGAATCGTAGAAGAGGGTGCCGAGAATCTTTCTCAGAACAGTGCAGAGACGCTTGGTGGATTTTGGGCTTTTTGGTAGGCGTCCAGTGGAAAAGCCTCTCATTTGAAAAAAAAATCGTATTGCTCGGCTTCAATTTGCTAAAACTCATCTAACTTTGACAGAACGACAATGGAATACAGTTTTATGGAGCGATGAAAGCAAATTTAACTTATTTGGATCTGACGGTACGGCATATGTGAGACATCCAATACGAAAAAGTACGACAAAAGGTATCAGTTGACAACGGTTAAGCACGGTGGAGGCAACATCATGGTTTGGGGCTGTTTTTCTAGCTCTGGAAAGGGTCCGATTGTTAAAATTGTTGGGAAAATTGATCAAAAACTTCACAAAGATATTCTTAGTGAACAAACACATTCTCCCTTTAGCTGAAGAAGAAATGCCTTTACGATGAACATTCCAGCAAGATAATGACCCCAAACATACTTCGAAATTCGTAAAAGACTGGTTGAGGCTAAAAACTGTTAATGTTTTTACATGGCCTTCGCAATCCTCGAACCTAAAGCCTATAGAACATCTCTGGGAGCATGTTAGAAGGCAACTGACAAGAAAAACTTAAAAAAATAGGAACGATTTATTTGATTATGTAAAAAATATTTGGCAAAATATCCCAACAGGCGTCTGTAAAAAATTGGTGTCTTCTATGAGCAGCAGATGTCAGGCAGTGTTGAATGCTAAAGGCTAAACAGTATTTTTTGAATCTCTTTGTAGAGTTATAGTATTTAATTTTGTAATAAAAAATATGTTTCCATACTTTTGTCCTTTCATTTTTTGGTCAAAACATAATATGTAGGTATTTTAATGGTAGTCTGTAGTACCACAGCAAACACAAATTGCCCTTTGTAACCTCAAGACTATAAGCAAACTAAAAGAGAAAAAAAAATAGTCCTTAATAATAAAGAATAAAAAATTAGCGCACTTCTCAAAAATTACTAAGAATGTTTCCAAACTTTTATCCGCTACTGTATATGCTTATATAGTCGGCTTCAGCGCCTTCTATGCGACACTAATCTTTTTAGAGTAGATTTCTAAGAGAGGAGAAACAGCTGTGACAAATTCTCAAAGGTGACCTCAGGATTTCTCATTTCATGTTGGATAATTTTTAGGACGCCGAATACAATAAATAGTACATCTTCAGGTAAAAAAATACTTTAATCAATAGTGTTATCTGTATTTGTCTGTAAGACAAATATTTTGGGTCTCCAACGAATGAACCAGAAAGTAACTTCATTGGGAATTTTCTTAACTCTGATAAAAGAAAATCTGTTCAGTAGCTTGAAGGGCACATGATTGAGCAACAATTTGAAACTAAGGACCGTATCGTCAGTCGTTCCTACAATTGTTTGGTGTCAGCGTCAGCTCTCTCCTTTTGGTTATGTTTTTGTTTTAATTTCAGGCTGATGAAACAGATGATATAAATCAAAAGCATAAACAATTTGATGCAAACAGAGATATTTGCAACATAACCTCAAAATAGAGCGCTGACACGCAACAGTAGAAACAATCAAGGAAGCCACAAAGGCGTCCTACAATTGTAGGAACGACTGACGATGCGGCCCTAAAAAATTTTCTACGCGTCTTATAAGCATTATGAGGAGCTACTTTGATGTCGGGTAAAAAACGACAACGACTAATTTAACTGTTGATTGAAACTGTCTATGAAAAATGGGCTTGTGATAATTTTAAACAACAATAACAAAAATACTTATAGACGTTAAGTGGGGTGACGTAAGCACATGAGCTGTCAGGCAAACTCGCGCATCAGAATCTAAATAGATGGACTGACAGATGACAGTAGTATGGATGGCTGAGCTTTGTTTGCGTGAGCGGGATCTACTTTTTGCAAGTTTTCGTTATAGCTCATGCGTTCACGTGACGTAGCAATAATGTATTCCCGCCTTACTACACAAGACAACGATACGGCAACACATTCATTCGCGCAGTTTTTCTTTTAAAATGAAAATCTATACATATTTGAATCTTAGAGCCGTTTTACACACAAGAGAATTACTCCGAAAATTATGGTCATAATTATGCCGAAAATTTGCATGGAAACAATATTGAAGATTTTTCTCTACAACCTGTATGACACAAGTAAACAAAATTTCGGAGTAATTCATATGATACGCCTGCGCATTAGAGTAATGTTTTCGAGTGGACATAACCTTAACGGGTATGACGTCAAATATAATCGGAAAGACAACAGACATCGTTGATTTAAATTTATTTTTGAAATCGAGATCTTGGTTAATATTATAAAACTACTCAATGCTTGGACTATCGCATCCAGCGCCTGACGCCGCAAATTTCTGTTTTTGTAATTGGATGACTTCACCTTGTACAGGTTTGGCCATTTTTGGTACTCCTCCAACAACAGTGTAACTTCTTCGCTTCTTCCCGATTCCACGACATTATGAATAAACAATAACAATAAACGCTCCTTCGTACGACTCGAACAGGACCACACCCACAAATGTTACGTGAGGTTATGTTGTTGACGTTGTCAGTTGATATTGACATGCACGGAAATAACCCTCTGCGCCGATTCTCGCGCATATTCTATAGAACGGGTTTTATATTTTTACCATGAAAAATTTCATAAGAATTATTTTACGTGTAATACGACAGCAAACATTTTCGGCATAATCATGTCCATAATTTTCGAAGTAACTCTCTTGTGTGTAAAACGGCTCTTAGACCACGCAGTAAATATTTGATTTGTACTTTAATTTTTTTGACTTATTTGTGGCTATTGTTTTTAATCGACATCTACCTGTGAATTTGGGGTGCTGGGCGGACGTGGATTGGTCAGCACCTGTACTGGTCCAGTTGTATAAAAAGTGTTGGTTTCGAAAGCTGGCTGCTGGTAGGTAGCTTGGTATATACCGTTCGGGTATTGCTGGTAGGCTTCTATTGGTTGACTGGCCGCTGCTGGGATTTGCTGGATGAACTGGCTCTGCGTCCATCCTGAAAAGTATATTTATTAATTTACATATACATATTTCATTTTCATGTATGATATATTTTTCTGTGAAGTTTGATAAAAAAAATCAAATTTGTGAGTGAAATATTATATTCTTTACGTTAGAGTTACAACCACATGTTAGATATAAAATGTATCCGAATTTTAAAAGCCGATTAGATACGGTTAAGAAACTGATCATTTACCTTGAGATGGGTCGGTCTGCCAAACTGGGGTAGTAAATCTATTCGGATCTGCGTAAAAAGGCATCGGACCCTGAAATAAAAATTATTATACAGTATGATTAATGAACGACATTCTTACGACTAAAGGTACATTCATAAATAACAAAAAAGTCAAGTTCTAAAGTTCAACTTGTTACCAGGAATTTGAGACCGGAAGTCGGGAACCGAAAAATACAGAAAGCAAGTCGTGGAAAAAAGGCGATGTGCGGCGTCAAAAGATTCAACTCTGCTTTTCGACATTTTCCAAGCTGCAGGTATCACTAATCGCAAATAATACGGTACAAAACATAAGGCAATTGGCTGATTTGTAATATGTTTATGGCCTTCGGATTAAAAGGCCCCAAGTTCGATAACAGACAGTTTTTAAGCTATCGATAGTCAAAGTTGAGGAATATGAGTATTGGATTATATCTGGTAGCTAAGTTATATGAGAAACTTCGTTTAACACTTTCGCTGCTAGCTTCTATGATACAGAGTAACCCAAATGCGGCGTTTTTTCCAAAAATTCAATTTTTTAGGCTTTGTAATTGTCGAAGTAGTAAACTTTTTATTCGACAACAAATAATGAGAAAACGTGCTTTTTGGAATTCAATTGAAGGTTGGCAGGAACGAAAAAACTGTTCATATAAGATTTTTCGTTCCTGTCAAGACTTTCGATTAAATTACAAAAAACAAAAAACACGTTTTCTCATTCTGTGTTGTCAAATAAAAAGTTTTCCCACAAAAATTGGTGTACCCATTTTATGCGACCATGTTTTAAATGCCCCCTTGAACAACTTGCACCAAAAAAAAACTGACTTTACAATTATTTCGGGGAAATTTGCTAATATAATTAGACTAATAATAAGTATCTTCACATGTTCAACAAACCTCATTTCAGTGTCAACAACTACTCCAAGAATTTTTGCAGACTGAGCAAGCTCTAAAACTTGATTATTTATAGATTTTGAATACACTAGTTGATTTACTACAGCTTCAAAATTATACTTTAGATGTTCGGAATATGTATATTTACGTGATTTGAGATGTGTGAAAGTCAATCTCTATGTTTACTTCCCACGCCTACTGGCGAGGAAGTACTGAAATTGCGAAAATTAAATAAATAAAATAAAATATTATGTTTCTTGGATGTTATATGATATGTACGTTACGAAAAATTGTGTCACTCATTTCCATCAGTCTGTTCGCAAACGCGTCGCCCGTCTATAACTTGAGAAGTACTGCTCTGATTTGCATGAGATTTCCACACAATACATCATAGATTTCCCTGTACACCTCCTCTTAAGACTTGGGTAAATATCTAACGGATGGTCGGGTCTATGTCGCATTTGCCGTACACTACGACTTCCGGTGCCCAAAAAATCCTTTCCGGGACTGCCGCCTAATCTTTCTCCACCACACTGCTCAAGCTAGCCAGCCCAGCATGGCTGACGTTGCCGTACAGTCTATACTGTCAGCAAGAGCAGGGAAGAAGTTTGTAGATCGCAGCGTTGTCAAATTGGTGGGACTTTCATACTAATTGTATGGGCCTGTTCATAGTTAACTGTGTTTCTTATAATAATGATCCTTTATCAGCTGATGATAGCGTTGCCTGGGAAGTGCAGAGTCAGCCTACTTCACGCCATTTTTTTAATATGAGTTACATGCTTTTAAAAGCAAAAAATGGGTCAGCTTCGGCAGTTACGCAATTCATCCTATGGGGGAACATGACTGCTTTACTCTTGATATTAAAAAAAGATATTACTAGAAAAAATCGTCGTTTTGCAAGTAGTGGTTCTTTTAGCACCAGCAACAAGCTCCTAAAAGTCTAACATTCGGTCAGTTACGAAATTCATCCTACGAGGCACATTGAATCTCACTTTAACCTTGATAATGAAAAGAGGCGTGTTATTATCACGGAAATCGTGGGGGGAGATGGTCGTCGTGTGAAGACCGAAGACCCTTCGGGTCCCCACAGCAGCAATTTTCTAACCCTCCATCCGGCACCGTTGAGGCAGGTCGCCACCCCCCGACTCACTGCAGGCAGGCGACGGCCAATGCTCCCCCCTTGGGGCGCCCGTCACACCCTCTCCCAACTGATACCGAATTGCCGCCCGCCGGATTCACCCCAACCTCAAGATTTTCTTCGGATCCCCTGGCTGTCAAGTGACCCTACGATTAACACCTTACACGGCCGATTTTGTTGCGATATGGGTATAGGCAGTTCATGTTATGGTATTTTAATACGCAACAGGAAGAGGGTCGCTTTTTTACATAACGATCAGCATAAACTAAGCTGGAGAAGCTATTCGATGTCCAGTAAAAGAAAAAAACGTTTTCATAATGAATTCGATCTCCATGGGCCTCTTCGTTTTATTCTCCTCCATCTGCTCTCACTAATCAGAGTTCGAATTTGCATTGCTGATTTTGCATTGAATTATATAAAATCTGGCCAACGAGATAAAAAACGTTCTTACGGTCTTCAAAGACAAAATAATGTGCAAAAAAAATCGCACTATGTGGATACAGTAGAAAACATAGACATCCCCAACGTCGATGCGATATTGGACCGAGAAGTTTGATGATCAATAATATTCTTGGAAATAACTGAAAAGGTCTATCGGCTAGAGATAAACATTTTTGCTGGATAACCTTTTTTTATTAAACGCCCATATAGGTGTTTGCGTAAAAGACTATGAAGTATTGTTTTAAGTAATCTACACAAGAGCTGTTGAGGATGAAAAGACCTTAAAATGAGGTCTCATATGTTCAATTTGCTGCAGCAGCTACGTCGCTGAGAAATTCATGAAAAACTGACCTTTGACTTAACCTGGTTAATCTGGTGGCAGTCATGAAATTTCAGAAATTGTACAGCATTCTTAAAAACGTTTTCTTAGATGGCAAGTGACGCAAATGGCTTACACTTTGGTTGAATTTGAAATTTTTTTTAACAAAAAGTTAACTGCTACAGCAAATTGAACAATAAGCTCTCATTTTGAAGGTATTTTTATGCTTTACAATATTTCCCTAAATCAGTTTCACTAGTACTTTATAGTCTTGATAATATATAAGAAGTTTATTTACCCTCGAAAATATATTTGTTATAAAATCTGTCCGTACAACTTTTTTCTGAAATGTTTAATATCGTGGTTTAATAGGGGATGTGCATGGAAGCTATGAAATCAAACGCGGAACTCGTAAAATTCAGACTGATTCAGACTTGTTCTGCTGCTTAGAGTTATAGCACGTATAACTCAGAAAATCCTCATATTTCATCTAACTTGAAGGTCAAAATCTCAGAAATGTTGCTACTTGGCGAGTTATTCTTACATATTATTTCAAGTTTTTGAAGCAATAATGCCAAAAACATTGAAAATGACACATTGGCCTTCCGTAAAACATGTTTGTTCTGCAAAATAAACTTTACTCTATTGTGTGATGTATGCTTATTTTCAACACATAATAATATTATAAATATATGAATGAATTCAGTCTAAAAAAACAGTATTTTAGTACTTTAAAGTTGACTTTTCTTGTTAAATCTTTCTGACGATATCGAAAAATTATTCGTTACACGTTAGTTAAATGTTTTTCTTACAGTTACAGAATGTCTTCAAAACGATTTTTCCAATCTGAATTATATATACATATATATATATATATATAAGCAAAAAACTTCCTTACTAAAAAAAAGATTGCCGATAAAGGTAGTAAGCATTCTGTATAGCTAAGATCATATTTTAGGCAAAAGTGGTTTACTGGTGGATATCTCGACGAAACTTGAGATCCCCTTTTCTTTGAGAAAAACACAGACTGCGGCAGACTGTTAGCTTTGATGATGTTGAAAGTAATTGCACCATATCTTCACAGAAATATTTAAAATATGATTCCATCTTTATGTGGCAATATGCTCACCATTGGTTGCTGTTGGACAGGCATGGGTTGCTGCACTGGTAACGATTGAGGACTAGGTCTGACGGATTGAGCCTGAGGTACTAGCGTGGAAGTACCACTGTTTTCTGGTGCTCCTATCGTATTGCCGCCACCACCCAATGGGGCTACGGTAGGTTTTCGTCCTCGGTAACTCTGCAAAAGAAAGATGACCTGTAAAATGAACTGTTATGTATAGATAACATGTTCTTGCTAAGCAACTTGGCATTTAGAAAATGATCGGTTTTTAAGAATTTCGACTTTCTTCAGTTGTCCTGCCTCCATAAATTGCATTATAAATATATAAAAAAATAACGAATGGTTAGTTTTGAAGAGAAAATAACCATACATAAACAGATCCCTGGTTTCCCCTATCCTAACTGCTAAAACAGGTTACAAAAGAGGTAAAAGTGTCCTAGGTGACACGATTGTATTTCTTTTCAATACCTCTTTTTTAATAATTCCAATATACCTCCTTTGTGAACAAACTTTGTTACCCCAAATAAGCTATACTAAAAATTGTGAATTCGCCATTTTTAACTAAGTAATAGCTACACAAAACCATATAAACAGCTAAAAAAATATCTTTTCTGTTGCTTAATATAATATTATTGTGTTGTTGTGATAAAAGTTGTATAATACAACACAATATCAGTGTTTTCCTTAGTATTCAGACACTACTGGATACGCACGGTTTTAAAAAACGGTGAATGTGCATATAATAACAAAGTATGAATACCGGGGGCGTGCAATATAATCATGTGCCAGATCTGTTGAGTAAAAAATAATCAGAAAATTCGGACTTTTTATTAAGTTCACTTAAGGCTGGAAAAGAATGATAGAAGAAGAATGAATTGTTAAGAGAAAGTGATATCGTTTACTTTTGAATAGCATTTTCGATTTATTACAATAAAAGTATTTTCTGGAACCCCATGGTCGAAAGCTCTATAGCTAGGTACATAACTCAAAATCTCTTTTTTGGCCACCGCATTTTGTTTGCGCATAGACAAAGTCTATATATTATGTAATCGCAAAAATCCATCTAAAATTACATACCTAAAAGAAAACATTTTGTCGGTCCACGTGTTTATCAACGTATATTATATATATATAAAGTCGGGTATGTTGTACACGGTCTTCAAGTTGTACCACCTCAATATTTCCTGAACTATATATTTCTAATGCCAACTATTCAGCTTGTTTGATGCCCCCTGGCGCCAAAACGTATCTGACAAAAACTTGCAACCGACGGTGGTTCGAGAATTCTCATATGTGAGTCTTATGTTGTGCATTTTGACAGAAACAAATCGAATTGTTTTCCTTTGAAGTTTCGTTCAATTTAAACAAGTCATTAAGGAGTTATTTCATAAAACTGAAAATTGAATATGATCATTTTTGAATATCGCAGCTACTGGTAACTAATTAACTTGTAAGGAATATTCGGGAAAAAATATAAAGGAAGAAGTAAAATGTGTCTCTAAACTCTAAGGAAGTATTGACATCTTAAAAATGGACCACACAATCAACAAAACACGTTTTATGTGGTTTGATACTTTTCCAATTTAAGGGTTTTGACGTAACCACATCATATATCTAACTCTAATTCATCAAAATCGACCTAGATATCACTGAAGTTATATACTGGGTGTTCCTTAATGATATGCGAATATTTAAGGGTGTGAATGTACATGAAAAATTAATGATAGTTTGCTTTATAAACAGTCCAAAAATGTTTCCTTAGAAAAACTGTTGAAGTTTTAGGAAAAAAATGGAAATTAATTAATATTTTCAGAACCGCTTCAGATATTTCACTGATATTTAGTACGTAGTGAAAGTCAATAAAGTTGCATATTTTTCAATGCAAAAATAATTTTTAGCTTAACAGTGGCGTGAACACGGGTATTGACTTCGATATTTTTTGAGAAAATGGTTTTTTGCCAAATAAAAATTATTTTTGAATTCCCCGTTCAATTTAAAACAATGATCTCTCTTGAATTGTTTTCTTTCGATGCGCCATTTTTGAGTAAAAAGTAAAAACCGTTCCATTGTCCGAGAAAATTAGTGTAATAGTTGAAGAATGCAATTTAGCAATAAATAACTAGATGCTCTGAAATATGTCACTGGCATTTGACATCTGACAAGTCTCTGTTATTCAAGTCTATTCGCTGTGACATCTTTTTCATTATTTAGTTTTTACAATCTTAATAATGGTGAATTATTCAAATGCATAAATGGTGGAAATGCATTACGTATATGGCCTTGCCGACGGTAATGGTGAGCAAGCCAGACGGATTTATCACCAGAGATATCCCGATCGTGCTTTGCCAGATAGTCGAACCTTTTCTAATATTCATCGTCGTTTTTTTGCCATTAAATTGTTTGGAGAATTTTAGTGGTTTTTTTGTTATATTCTTACCATATTTTAAGAGTACAGGCATTACCTCCCATTGATTTTCCAATGCGTGTGACCTTTTGTCAGTGGTATCTTCAAAACATTACACAAATCCCGCAATTTGAATCAATGATTCTGTTCACGGACGAAGTTAATTTTTCTCGAAATGCCATTCAGAATTTCCACAATAATCATTTGTGGGCAGAAGAAAATCCCTATGCCGTAACCGAAACCGATTTCCAACACCAATTTTCGGTTAACGTATGGGCAGGAATTATTGACAACCACTTTATTGGTCCATTCTTCTTGCCGGGACGACTTGACGGACAGACTTACCTCAATTTTCTTCAACAACAGTTGCCTTTGCTGCTTGATGATGTTCCGTTAGTAATAAGAAACAATATGTGGTACATGCATGATGGTGCACCAGCGCATTTCAGTGTAGCGGTTCGTAATTATTTCCCCCAGACCTCAACAGTTTAGATTTCTTTTTGTGGGGCTGTGTTAAGACAGAAGTCCCATTAACACTGTAGAGGAATTAAGAAAAGGAATAGTTGCAGCTTGTGATAGAATAAAAAACACTCCAGGGATATTTCAACGAGTGCGTAATTCCATGAGGAGGGTGGAAGCATTCTAAGTGAGGGGGGCATTTTCAACAATTTTTTTAATCATTTCGTTGGTTTTAATGTTATGTTTATGTTGTCATTTCTTGTTGTTCATTACCCGTAATGTGTTTAATTTTTCCAATTGAATTAATAATAATTTTGCAAGTTAGACAATAGAACTGTTTTTATTTTTTACTCAAAAATTTCGCATCGAAGGAAAACAATTCGAGAAAGATCATTTGTTTTAAATTGAACGGGGAATCAAAAATAATTTTTATTTGGCAAAAAATATCGAAGTCAATACCCGTACGCACGCCACTGTTAAAGCTAAAAATTATTTTAGCATTGAAAAAGATGCAACTTTATTAACTTTCACTAGGTAGTAAATATCAGTGAGATATCTGAAGCGGTTCTGAGAATATTAATTAATTTCCATTTTTTCCTAAAACATACCCCGAGTTTTTGTAAGGAAACATTTTTGGACCATAGTTTATAAAGTGAACTAACATTAATTTTTCATGTAGATTCACACCCTTAAATATTCGCATATCATCAAGGAACACCCTGTATATAACTTCAGTGATATCTAGGTCGATTTTGGTGAATTAAAGTTAGATATATGATGTTTACGTCAAAACCCTTAAATTGGAAAAGAATCAAACCACATGAAACGTGTTTTGTTGATTGTTTGGTCCATTTTTAAGATGTCAGTACTTCCTTAGAGTTTAGAGACACATTTTACTTCTTCCTGTATATTTTTTCCCGAATATTCCTTACAAGTTAATTAGTTATCAGCAGCTGCGATATTCAACAATGATCATATTCAATTTTCAGTTTGAGTTACGGGTTGTATATAGTCTCCCTCATATTTTTTATGAAAAAAAAACAATGAAATGACAAATGATCATTTTAATAAAAATGTAATTCTCTTGACGTTATGACATACTCATATATATTTCACCTTCAAGTTTAGACTAAATCATACAAAGTTAAACATATCGTGACACAAATGTATCGAGTGCAAACCAAAGAGAGGCGTACTATGACCTATTCTTCATAAAATAGATAATATATAGGTAGACATAAGCATGTATATTGACATAATCTTTTCATATTTTACCGCTTAACGATATTCCTGGAGGTCGCTCATGTAACGCGTTGGTATTGATCTATTTATAATCCCATCAAGCATTCTATCAATAAAATATTTCGTAACACAACCTATGATATATACATGCTAACAAATGAAAATTAAACATAGCATAAGGTTCAAAGCTCACTCTATTATATATAGCCATAAGCTACGAAGGGCCTTGCCATCATACCATACCTGAAATTTCGCAAAGGATGACAATCTGGCTCAGGTACGTTAGGTAATTAAGTAATTGCCTAACCTTACACCCATAACAATCTTTATATATAAAAATACGTCTACCTATTGATCTAATGAACACACATTTTCTATCTATTAACGGATAGTGATACGCACTAGTAACAGTTTATGACCGCACTACTAGCAATAGTAAGTAAAAACTAATAGAAATACTAAAATTACTTCCTCAACTCCCTTAACCTCTCCCGTGATGTATACAGCGCATTGTTTAATAAAAAACGTACCTTTGCTTTACATGCAATCAATTTTTACGGAAAGTAGGGCCAGGATGCCTGAACGTAGGTCTTTGATTATACCTGTGGGGCTTACAGCCGAGTTTTGCCGGAGGTTAACGAAAAGCAAGTCGACCGTAAAGCGGCATGCACAAGGGAGAAGTAATGTTTTCATGGAATATTGATTCATGTTTTGAATTCGCATAATGCTCATATACTTTGCGAATGTAATAAGCGATTACTTCGAGAGAGGAGAGAGAGAGTAAGAGGGTGAGAGGTTAAATAAGCTTGGAAAACTTTTACATCTTTAGAAAAACGATTAGCATGAGTCAAAGAATCAGTTCCATCAGAAGTCGAAATGAACATACTGCAATTTTTTATTCTACTCAACTTCGGAGAATATTGGAAATTAAATACTCGCCTGGAAATTATTTCAACTGCTCCAATTTCTAGTTTGCTTTCTGTTAACTACAGTCAATTCCATGAGAATACCTTTTAGGTATCCGGCTAGAAGGACCACTGGTAGAGCGAGCCGAGTGTATCTTTATGCAGTC